CAGACGCCATTTCTGCCACCACCCAGACACATATGCCCTCCCTTCCTTCCGCAGGGACCGTTCCCTCCAGGACACCCTAATCCACTCTTCCTTCACCCCAACACCCCCAAAGCCCTAAGGCACCTTCCTCCGTAACCAAAGGTGCAACACATGCCCATTTACCTCCTCCCTCGCCAGTATCCAAGGGCCCAAGGTGCGAGGGCTGAGGTGCAGGAAACACAAGAGATGCGGTCGAGGGGGCTTTTGACCACTGGAGTGGAAATTGCAGTCATTGCAAAATGAGGACATCTGGGATGTCCAGGAGTGGAACGCCTCATCTTGGGAGCAGATGCAGCAGAGGTGAAGGAATTGGGAATAGGGGATAGCATTCTTGTAGGAAGGTGGGTGACAGGAGGTGTATTCTAGGTAGCTGTGGGAGTTGGTGTACTTGAAATAGATATCAGTTTCCAGGTGGTTACCAGAGATGGAGACAGAGGTATCAGAGATGGTCCAGGTGAACTTGAGGTTGGGGTGGAAGGTGTTAGTAAAGTAGATGAACTGTTCAAGCACTGATACAGTCATCGATGTAATAGTGGTCGAAAACACCCTCAACCGCATCTCTTGCGTTTCCAGCACCTCAGCCCTCGCACCCTCTCCCTGCAATAACAACAAAGACAGAATTCCCCTTGTCCTCACGTATCACCCCATCAACCTCCAGATTCAACGCATCATTCTCTGCCACTTCCGCCATGTGCAAGTTGACCCCACTACCAAGGATATATTTCCCTCCCCATCCATATCTGCCTTCTGGAGGGACTGGTCTCTCCGCGACTCCCTCGTCCGCTCCACACTAGCCTCACCACCCCCGGCACTTTTCCCTGCAACCGCAGGAGGTGCTACACCTGCCCCTACACCTCCCCCCTCACCTCCATCCCAGGCCCCAAGAAAAGTTTCCACGTTAAACAGATGTTCACTTGCACATCCGCTAATGTGGTATATTGTATCCGCTGTTCCCGATGCGGCCTCCTCTACATCGGGGAAACCAAGTGGAGGCTTGGAGACCGCTTTGTGGAGCAACTACGCTCGGTTCGTGACAAACATCAACACCTCCCAGTCGCGAACCACCTCAACTCCCCCTCCCACTCCATCCTGGGCCTCCGCCAGTGCCACAACGATGCCACCCAAAGGCTGGCGGAACAGCACCTCATATTCCGCCTGGGAACCCTGCAGCCCAATGGTCTCAATATGGACTTTACAAGCTTCAAAATCTCCCCACCCCTGACCTCACCCCAAGACCAGCCCCTCTCATCCCCGCCTCCTTAACCTGTCCGTCTTCCCTCCCACCTACCTGCCCCTCCCTCCTCACTGACCAACCCCCATCCCAACTCCCTACCTGCACTCACCTGTACTGGCTTCTCTCCACCTACCTGCTCCTTTATCCATTTTCTATCATCGCTCCCCACCCAGTCTCTATTTATTTCAGAATCCCCTTCCCCTCTCCCATTTCTGAAGAAGGGTCCAGACCCGAAACATCAGCTTTCCTGCTCCTCTGATGCTGCCTGGCCTGCTGTGTTCATCCAGCTCCACACCTATGTTCTACATATTATTTTTGAGATCCTACACACATCTTAGCAGAATTAATATATTTTCACTACATTCATTAAAGAAAACAGTACAACTACAGATTTTGTACTTTCAAATTAAAAAGTTATGTCTTTAAGTTATACAATTCAAAGTATTAGTATGTGCAGGCTTGTCAACGCCAGTGGCAGTGCAGAAACCAGAAGTGAACCAAAAAAAAATACTGTAAACTTATTGGCTTAATTAGTTCACTTGAGATATACTGGCATCAATGTTCTATGCCTAGTGAGAATTGTTTTTCAAATAAAAATTAACTAGAAATGGACATCACTGGCCAGGCCTGCATTTATTGTAGGTCTTGAAACAACTGAGTGAATGATTTCAGAGGTCAAAGGTCAGTTAATTTTCATACCATATCGCTGAGAGTCTAAAGTCAAAATGTACACCTGACCCATCAGGATGGCAAATTTCCTTGCCCAAAAGGACATTATTGAATTAGATTTTTTTTTCTGACAAGTCAGTGGATTCAGGATTAGCCAGATGGTATCTTATTTCTGGATCATTAGTCCAGGCATCCAAGTTACTTGTCGAGTATCTTAACTGCTGTATCACCATGCCACAGAATTCTGTGGCATATTTGTGGATTAAAAAACCAAGAGAACTGCGGATGCTGTAAATCTGGAACAAAAACAGAAGTTGCTGGAAAAGCTCAGCAGGCCTGGCAGCATCTGTGAAGAAAAAAATAGAGTTAACATTTCGGGTCCTGTTCTGAGGAAAGATCACTGGACCTGAAACGTTAACTCTTGATTTTTTTCTTCATAGATGCTGCCAGACATGCTGAGCTTTTGCAGCAACTTCTGTCTTTGTTCCTGATCTATAGGTGATCTTGTGCAGTTTTCAGAGCTAAAGCACTGTAATGAGGCTCCTTTCATGCAGCAGTTGTTTTACATTTGGACGCTGGTTAGATATTAACTAGTATAAAGCTAATGTTTCAATGCAAGTTTTAAAACCAGGAAGTGATGGGGACTAGAATTGCACATTTGGATTATGCACCTGGTTATTGCACCTCTTTATATAGATTAAGATTGCAAAGAGTTTTATAGAGTAAGTGTAACCTGCAAGGCACAAATCAAGAGCATGATGGGAGAAATACTCCCCACTTACCTGCATGAACACAGTTCTAACACTCAATGAGGTCTGCATTATCCAAGATACCACAGATATTTTCTAATCAACCTATTCAAAGCGGTTATCACACATCTCTGGAACAGGGGGGACTTAATCCCAGCCTCCTGACACAGCTTGCTTGATCGTCCTAACACCCCATCATCTCAAACAAACATTCATCAGTGCATCATTTCTGCAATCTGCAACAAGATGGATATACAAAATCCAGGAATTTAGCACAACATAATTGAAAAGGAAACTGAAGCATAGATTGCTTGTCTGATATGTATAATGTGATCAGAATTTGCACTGAAGCAATTCACAAAACCTTCACAATGACTGCAGCAAGGTTCTTCTGGCTGTTGCTCCTCTCCAATTTTAAGTGCAACTGTTCTATATTTTATTTGAGGTCCTACAGACATCTCAGCAGCATTATGTATTTTCACCAGTCACTGCGAAAATGCACAACAGTAATTCACCAAGGCCTCTTCAACAACACTTCCTAAACTCAAGAACACCTAAACTTTGAAGGACAAAACCAGCAGTCACATGGGGTCACATTAACTCCATAACCCGTTCCAAGCCAAGTGATGCTGTTTGACTAGAAATAAAGCAGTGTTCCTTCATCACAGCTGAAATCCTACAATTACCTTACCTAGTTGCAAGGACTGAAGTTCAAGCAGTGGAATACCACAAATGATCTCGGAGGCCTCAAGTCCTGGCCTAACTAGCAACACCACTATTCCAATAGTGAATTAAAAATAGTGAGATAAATTGTTACTAAACCAAAGGAACAGATATCAGGAGGGATAACTAAAACCTTCCTTTTAAATTTTTTCTATTAGAAGGGTCAATGCATTTCCTTATATAGCAGACCAATCTCTATGCTCCCCTCAGCATCATCTTCACCAAAATAAACATAATGTTTACATCCCACTAATGTCTGGCAGAAAGATACATCAACACAACACAGCAACTGAGTCAAACCTCCTTATAGAGGATTATGTTTTAAATTTCTCCCACTCATGCAGATACTGACATCTTATCATGGGCAGAGTTATATATTACCAAACACCATCAAAATATCACATTTGATGATTTCCACCCCGCTCATCCAAGTGTGGGCCTTCAACTACTGACATTAGTAAGTAATATAACTATGGAAGGCATCACAGCCAAGATTACCCTGCAAACCCAGCAAGATTGTCTACATAATGATTGGTTGCGACAGCCATGATTAATCTTCCTTTCCCTCATCCAGCGGCACCGCAGCCAGTTGTGTACACATGGCTATCTTGGAGATCAGCTAAATCAAAGATAGGCTCAAACCCAGGACCTTCCTAGTCTCAAGACAGTTATCATCTCTAAGCAAGGAAGCATACCCCACCCCCTGAATAAAATTGGTTTATGTCACATATTCTGACATTTACAGGAGGTCAAGTTCAAAAGCTTGCCACATAAATTAGGTTTCGTGAAATTCACTGCGATTTGCATATCATGTCCGAGTGATCAAATGTCATGGTATAAACGTAGCATAATAAATTTCACAATGTGGATGATTCTGGAGTACATGTTAATTTACTAAAAACACTTTAAAAACGTTGAACACAATTAACCCAGTGCATATAAAACTTAAAAACATTTACAGAAACTGTATTTGATGTCCCAATAGCATCAGAACTAGTTCCTTTTTTGCTTATGGGAAACAATAAAAGCTTCCTTCATTGATAAAAGGTTATCCCCAGAGATGTGGCGTTGGCCAAGACATGAGAATGTTCAGGATGCACCTCCTCAGTGCTATTCTTCTCTTTGGTCTACTAATTTATAAACTATCAAAATTAATATTCAAAAATCTTTGTCATAAAAGTAAAAGAAAGGTCAACGTGGCTTAAAAACAGGAAAGCCGCCATAGCCATTTCAAAATAAGAACGAATATTCAGACTGCTGCTCTTAAATGGCATTTGATGGGGGTGGGGGGCAAGATGTTAAAAAAAATGGGAAATGACACCACGTCCGAGTGCCGTAACATTTCACTTTTATTAGGAGGAAACCATAATGAGAACACAGACTAAATAGTTCACGCCAGACAGCTTATTCTTCAAAATAAATACTCTAAGCTTGACGACATTTTAAACACAAAAAAACTTCCAATTCCCCGCCCTTTTTAAAAGTCGAAAAATCTCAACAAAAATATGATTAGCATACCAAAAGTACAGACTCTGAAGCCAAGGAAAATCTAAATTTAGGGCGGTTGCCATTTTAAACTAGATTACCTCATTTTAGATGTCCTGATATTTCCGTTTTTTTGAAAATACTTGTAAAACAGTGTTGATTATATACTTAAAATTCACAGCCAACCATCAAAGCAGGGCGAAATACGATAGCATTTCAAAGTCACGATGTAAAACACTTCAAATTTAGCAAATAAAACCCAATTCTTCTGGGTTATTAAAAAAAAGTTCCCTTCATAAACACTGAGGCCTCCATTTATATTGTTTCCCCTCCGAATTAAAAGAAAACACACGAACCTTTTTGCGGCGATCTAAAGGATCGGGAAGAAAATATGACTTAAAAAGAATTAACAAAAAAAAAAGTTAAAACAAACTTCTTCCTCGCCAATTAGGAAAAGCAACACTGACCTAGTAAGGAAACACACACTAACTTTGTACTTGGAGGAAGAGAAAAGGAAGGGGCTAGGGGGCTGTTAGCTAACCTTTTTTTAAAAAATTAAAAGAAGGTAAGAATCTTTAGGTTTATATATTTTGACAAATATATTTAAAAAAAGGGGGTCTCCCTCACCACTACTCTTCAAGATGCTCGTTTTTTCCTTGGGTCAAACCCCCCCCCCCCCAAAGAAAACTCCTCCAAACACAAGATGGCGGCCGCCAGCAACAGATGATTAAAAAGGAGAAAAATTGGGCAAAAAAAAATTGAAATCTAACCCAAGAATTAAAACACCAGACATACAGAATATCTCACCGGTAAGAATTCAAATTCGTTATTTCAGAAACTGCTTTGGAAAGCCCTGCCAGTTGAAGACAAAAACATGCCCTGTCAATCCTTAAGAAGGAGCAGAGGAAAAAAAAACCGTTCCCCCCTCCCCAAAAAGGAGGAGGGGAGGGAGGAAGTTATATTGGTCGAAGAGGCCTTTTGGATCAATTTCTATTTCTAAAAGAAGTCCGAGGGATTCCCCCAGTCACAGATAAGGGAAGGTGACTTACCGATAAGGTTTTTGTTTGTTTTTTATTCCTCTCTGTTTAGGGATAGGTTCTGTTGTCCTTCCTCTGGCGCCGCTTCCTTTTTTCTCTCTCTTCTTCTCTCTCGGATCCAACAGCTCAAGCTCAGACAACGCGCCCTCCAGATCAACGTGGCCACGCCTGAGGGGGTGGCAGCCACAATTCAAAGCAATACAGACAGCCCTTCTTTAAAGACAAGCCTCTATTTCCTCAGCAAGCTACTAATGGATCATGTGAAGGACCTACAGAGACAGCAAAAGAATTTAGATTAGGGTGGGGATTATTGTGTGTGTTCAAATTATGATTGTTTTTGTTCAGGCTGTGGCACTGCACTGGTTAACACTTCTACAGAGAAAATTCCTCACTGCCTGCTTTAATGCCATAAATCACAAAAGCAATTTTATGCGCGCGTATTAATCACCAACATGCTACCAAGAGGAAATTAACCCTCTCAGTTGGTGAAATGAATTCTGCAGCGTGGAACTAAGTCATAGGCACGTAGGGTTTCAGGTTCAATTCCAGGTCTGTGGCGTTCAGGGCACAAGGGTTACATTCACCTCAGTGAATGGTCTGGCAAAAAGTACAGCAAATACACCAGTGAAGTGGCACTGTGCCAACTCAATGGTGAGCAGACTAAAATTTGTACTTAAAAATACCCTCCTCTCATGAGGATAGAACCACTAATATGATTATCTGATCATGGAATTTAGAAGACCGTAAGGTAATTTGATTAAAACTCCTTAAGAGTCTCGTCAGGGTGGATGTGGGAAAAAGTATTCCTGTTGTGACAGATCTAGAACTAGGAGTCACTGTTTAAAACTCAGGGGTCACACATTTAAAACTGAGATTAGGCAACTTTTCTTTCCTCTGAGGTTATGAGTCATAGAATCCCTACAGTGTGGAAGCAGGCTATTTGGCCCATCAAGTCACACTGACACTTCAAAGAGCATCCCCCCCAAACCCACCCCACCCTATGCTATCACTGCACTTCCCATGGCTAATCCACCTACCCTGCACACTACGGACAATTTAGCATGGCCAACTCACTTCATCTGCCCATCTTTGGACTGTGGGAGGAAGCCAGAACATCCAGAGAAAATCCACGCAGACACAGGGAAAACCTGCAAACCCCACACAGACAGTCACCGGAGGATGAAAATCGAACCCAGGTCCCTGACGCTGGTGAGGCAGCAGTGTTAACCACTGAGCCACCTTGCCACCCAATCTTAGGGACTCTCTTGCTGAAAAGGTGGTGAAAGCAGAATGCTCGGAATTTTTTATGCAAAAGTAGATAGATTCTTGTTAAGTAATGGAATCAGGGATAGGTGGGAGTGTGGATTTGATGTTACAACCAAATCAACCATGACCTTATTGAATGGCAGAGCAGGCTCAAAGGGCTGAAAAGCCTATTGCTGCTCCTTAATTTGTATGTTCATATGTATATTCATATGTAGCTAGCTAGCAAGCCACTCAGTTGTACCAAACCACTACAAGGCCCCCCCAAAAAAACTGGTACTGGATGGACCACCTTGTGCTGACTTGGATACCTGATTCGAAAATGGCAAGCTCAGCCCCGTTGATCCTTAAGAGTCCTCCTCATCAATATCTGGGGGCCAGTGCTGACTCTCAGACGAGTCAAGCAACAACCTGACATAGTGACAGAATCGTACCTTACCCACAATGTTCCAGACAACACCTTCTCTGTCCCTGGGTATACCTTGTCCCATTAGCACCACAGAACCAGCAGAGGCGGTAGCATAGCGGTATACAATTGGGGAAAGATTTGCCCTGGAAATCCTCGACATTGACTCTGGATCACATGAACTTTCTTTGACTCAAATCAAACATGGGGAAAGAAACCTTCTGCTGGTTACCTTGGGGAGGTGATGACGTAGAGGTAATGTCTCTGGACTAGTAATTTAGAGCCCGAGGCTCATGTTTTGGGGATGTGGGTTTGAATCCTACTATGGCAGATAATGAAGTTTGAAATCAATTAGAAGACATCTGGAACAAAATATTGGCTAATGTCAACCGTGTAACCACTGTTGATTGTCATAAAACCCATCTGATTCATTAATGCCCTCAGGGAAAGAAAATCTGCAGTCCCTATCTAGTCTGGTCTACATGTGTGTCCAGACATATGGCAATGTGGTTGACACTTAACTGCCCGCTGGGAAATTAGGGATAAGCAATTACCTGGCTAGTGATGTCCACATCTTTTGAACAAATAAAAATAAATGTACCACAAACACCCAGGCTGATGACCAGTACTCCTCCATATTGAACACATTTGAAGGGAGCACTGAGGATAGCAAATCCGTCACCAAGAGTGGCTCAGCAGCACCATTACCAATCTGGTCAGATTCTAAAGAATATAACTGCAGCTGGTGAAGGAACCAATGCATAGTCCTTGTGGAGATGAAGTCCCATCTTCACATTGAGGATAGTGTCCATCATGTTGTGTGCTACAGTGTTAAATGGAGTAGACTTTGGAAAGAGCTAACAACTCGACTGGGCATTCATGAGATACTGTCAACCATCAACAGCAGCAGATTGTACTCGAACACTACGGTCTGGCACATCCTCCATTCTAGAAAGTGTAGATGTACAAAAGTGTCTTTTGTGTTAAGTCACTGACGGTTAATTTGGAATGTTAACCTTTATTGCAAGAAGGTTTCTATAAGAGCTTAATTAGACAGCACCTGGGGTAGTGTGTGCAGTTTTGGTCACCGTATCTCAGGAAAGATATCATTGCCATAGAGGGAACGCAATGGTAGTTCACCATAATTCTTTCCAGGATGGTGGGACTGTCCAATAAGAGAAATTAGAGCAAACTAGGCCTGTACTCTCTAGAGTTTCATAGATTGAGCAATGATCTCATTGAGACCTACAAAATGTTTAAAGGGATAGGGTAGATGCGGATAAGCTGTTTTACCCTGGTTGGAGACTCTAAAACCAGGGAGGACAATTTAAAAGATAGGGGGGGCGGCATTGCCACTTAGGTCCGAGATGAGGGGAAATTATTTTACTCAGACAGTTGTGAACTTTGGGATTCTCTGTCACATAGGGCAATGGATGTATGTTTAAGGTTAAGCTTGATAGATTTTTGATAACCAGTGTACAGGGTTATGGAGATGGGGTGAGTCATAGAGATCGAAGTGTTAGACCAACCATGATAGAATTGAATGGTGGAGTAGGCTGGTTGGGCTGAACCACCCAATCCTTTTCCTACGTTCCTACCACATATGCCATTCTTCAGCAGATTTGATTCACTCCACGTAATATCAAGGAATGTCTGAAGGTACTGGTTACTGCAAAGGTCTATGTGACCTGACAGCATTCTGGCAATGGGACTGAAGACATGTTCCAGAACTTACTGTAACCTTAACCAAGCTGTTCCAATACAGCTATAAAACTCATATCTAATCAACAAAGCATTAATGAATCAGATGGGTTTTATGTCAATCAACAGTGGTTACACGCTTGACATTAGCCAATATTTTGTTCTAGATGGCTTCTAATTGATTTCAAATTTCATCCTCTGCCATAGTGGGATTCCTAAGTGATTCGGCATCCAGTTTTGTTTTACAGTGCTCCACTGAAGTTCCGTGATTGAAGGTGCTGTTCTCGGACAACTCGACAAATTGATCAGAAAACTCAGGGCAGTTGGGTTCTATAACTCAGAACTTCTGTAATAGCCTCAAAGGATAGTAGAGGCAGCAACCTTTAATCTTTAAAATTGTGTCTGAATATACAGCTGTAGGGCTGTAGCCTACAGGGCTCTTGATCAAGTTCTGGAAAATGGGGTTAGGTTGGGTGGCCTTGTTTTTCAGCTAGCACAGACAAAATGGGCCAAGAGGCCCCTCTCTTTGTATCATAAATTTTCTATGATTCTATGAAATCTTTCATGTTTGCCTTCGAAGGCAGATGGGACTCAGTTTAACAAATCAAACAGACTGGAATTTTATTATCAAAAAAATATGAATTTTAGGTTTCTACATGGAGTTATGCTGAAGCCACAGCTTGAGTTTTCAGTAATGGTCTTTGATGCAAAGCCAATATTTTAAACCTGGAAATAATACGAAGAATGGTCGCAGACTTTTCCATCAACAGAGCACAAGTACGAACAAAGTAACTGCTAAGTTCAGGACTAATGTCAGGGAGCACATGTTTTTATTTAAAGTATAGTGCTGGGTACAAAAAGAACAGCAAAATCTTTGGACTAATTGGTCCTTGTGCACGAGTCGCTGAAGGTAAGCATGCAGGTGCAGCAGGCGGTAAAGAAGGCAAATGGTATGTTGGCCTTCATTGCGAGAGGTTTCAAGTACAGGAGCAGGGATGTGTTGTTGCCATTGTACATGGCCTTGGTGACGCCACACCTAGAATATTGTGTGAAGTTTTGGTCTCCTTTTTGGAGGAAGGATGCTTTTGCTCTGAGGGGAGTGCAGCAAAGGTTTACCAGGCTGATTCCAGGGATGGTGAGACTGATGTATGAGGAGAAATTGACTAGGTTAGGATTGTTTTGCTGCAAGTTCAAATGATGAGGGAGGATCTCATAGAGACTTATAAAATTCTAACAGGACTAGGCAGGCTAGATGCGGGGAGGATGTTCCTGATGGTGGGC